GTGACTTTGATCAAGTTTTGGTATCAGAGTAATATTGGTCTCAGAAAATGAGTTGAGAAGTATTTCTTCCTCTTTGATTTCTTGACAGATTTTGAGGAGAATAGGTATTAAATCTTCTTTGAATGTTTGGTAGAATTCACTGGTAAAGTCATCTGGTCCTGCACTTTTATTTTGGTAGATTTTTGATGATTGATTTAATTTCCATACTGCTGATCGGTCTATTTAGATTTTCCAGATCTTCTTGATTCAGTCTAGGAAGGTTGTATTTTTCTAAGTACTGATCTATTTCTTCTAGGTTATTAATTTTGGTGTTATATACTTTTTTATAGTATTTTTGCATGATCCTTTGTATTTCTGTGATATCAGTAGTAATGTCCCCTCTTTCATCCCTGATTTTGTTTATTGTGTCCTTTCTCTTTTTTCTTGAGTGTGTCTAGCCAGGGATTTGTCTATTTTATTAACCTTTTCAAAGAAGCAGCTTTTTGTTGCATTTATTTTTTCTGTTTTGTTTGTTTGTTTTTAGTTTCATTTATTTTGCTCTAATTTTGATTATTTCTTTCCTTCTGCTGCCTTTAGGCCTTCATTTGTTTTTCCTTTTCTAGTTTTTTAACATGAAACATTAGGTTGCTTATTTGGGCTCGTTCTTATTTTTGAAGATAGGCCTGTAATGATATGAACTTTCCTCTTATGACTGCTTTTGCCATGTCCCAAAAGTTTTGATATGTTGTACTATCATTATCATTCGTTTCTATCTATCTCTTGATCTCTGCTGCAGAGAAGGTACTTTTTTTTGGTTCCCAGTAGGTGGCGTCTAAGCCTCTTGAATTCCTGCTTTATATAAAGCCTTATTACTGCCTTTTAATTTTCTTGTAGATATTTAATCATGCTTGCTACCCTCAGTTTCAGTTCCCTTCAGTGTCAGCGACAATCTCGGCAGCGTTTGCTCAGATTCCCTGGGGCTCTGTGGTGATCAGTCTCAGAGTGTATCGTGGGAGGGGCACTCTGGGTTGGGAGTTGTGGGCTGTGGCTCAGCCTTGGTTTTGCATCTGGGGTTAGTAATAATCAGCTGTTGTTTATTTGCCGTCCCTGCTTTTCTGCTGTCTCTGTTTCTCTGCCTTCTGCCCTGATGACTGGGCACTGCTGCTGGCCACATGGAGCTCACAGCTTTTCCAGGCAGGGCTGTTCTGGGAACTTGCTGTCCTTCTCCTCTCCCCCTCCTCCTACAGGGAGCCCTGGGGACAATGAAAGGTAGCTTCTTTGTTTTTCTCGGTTCACCGCCTGACACCTGAGGTTCTGACATGTGGTAGCTCTTGTGCGCAGATCCCACACTCAGATGTGCTAGTGTGCAGTTTGGGTGTTTTTGTTTGGTTTTAGATATACAACTTATTGTTGATTCAAGGGGAGAGATCTGAGGATGTCTCTCACTCTGCCATGTTTCTCCTCCCATGATATAAGGGAGACTTTTTTTTTTGTAACTCATGAACTGGACTCAGTATTTTCTTTCAGTGTGAATGCTCATGCCTTTCTTTAATTTGGAAAAGTTCTAGACTTTTTCTCTTTAAATATCGAGTCTCTCCATTCTAAATTTTCTATGTCTGTATTTCTTAGTGTTTCTTCGCTAGTCTTTTATATATTATCTTTCTGTTTACCTAGTGTCCTGAGTGATTTCCTAAACAATTTAAAAATCAGCAATTCTTTTTTTTTTTCAGTTTTGTCATTTCTTGTTTAATGTATTCTGTTCCCTAATTGATTTCTATGGAAATCCTAAACATTATTTTTTTTTTCTTAAAGTTTTTCTTTTACCTATAATTCTTGCTGTAGGAATTTTTTAGTTCTGGCTGTGGACATTACCTCTTAGTGGCTTAATAATTCGATTGTAAGGCCATCTTAGGTAGTAATGATTGTCTCATGAGGATTCTGTACATCTGCTTTGTAGAATTCTCTTCGTGGAAATTATTTCATATTCTATTTTCTTAAGTCATCAATTTTTATTGTACTTGTTTCACCTGGAGATCTAGAATTCAAAGGAAGCATGCATTGTCATCCTGAACCTATACTCTTGAGAGACTTAAGGTTCTTTGTTCTCTATGTGATATTTTTGTCTTCCATATCTTTAAACCATTTTAAGCACTTAGGGTTCTGTGTCTCCAGGTGATCCTTTTCCATCTATATTTCTAAAGAAATTTACCTGCCACATCTCAAAGACAAATGGTAGCAGCTTTTAGTATCCCCATTTCATGGATGGTATGACCTTTCATGGCTTCCTGGGTTAGGGAAGTTAGTTCCAACTTTCTAGGAGGTCTCAACTCATTATAAGCTGATATGTACAAATGATTTATGCACTTTTGAGGAAATTTAGCTTTGGTTACTATTTATCTTTTGTGTTTTCAATTTCCTCTTTTTTTCAAATTCTCATTAGAAATGTCCCTTTCTTTAAATTTTGGCTTGTATTTTATGTTATTTTTTCCCCACCATTTCTCTATGTCTGGGATAGGAAGGGGAAAGAGCCCTGTGAGCCCAGTCTGTCTGATTATGTAAAATTGGTGGGTAAAACATTAGATTGGAACCTGAAGGCTAGAATCAGACTCAAAATCAAGCATATATTCTGTCCTGGGAAGTGATAAGGAGAAAAGCAAATCTGTTTACTTATTCCTCTCTCTAGTTGGGGATTTGAAATTTATATTCTTTATGCTCATGGTATATGTATAAAAAGGAATGTACTTACCCTAATTTAGTAATCTTTTGAAATTATTCATCATTGGTAGTTAGTGGTATAAAAGAATTGATGAAAATTATAAAATGATCTGACTTTAATTTGTTATGAAGAAACTTTTTTTTAGCATTAATTTAGAAACATTATTTTCATTCTCATTTAGATCCAGATCAGAAAGCAGCAGCTACACAGATACTGTCAGGTAAGTAAATCAGAGATATTTTTAAAAATAAGTATGTGTTAAAAAATAAGATAAAAAAATAAGATGAACAAATTGATAGTCAACAATTAATTGCTAAATATTAATTAAGCAGCAAAAGTTGGTAAGGTACTACACCAAAAAATAACCTATTACTGCCAATCTGGTAACTAGTATTCATCTAAATAAATCAATGTCTTCTTTCCTTCAAGTTGTTACTCTATATTGGGATTTTATTCTTGAAAAAGAATAAACTAGAAATAAATGATGTGTAATGTTTATGGAGTTAACTCATAAATGGGGAAGTTTACTTTTTTATTTGGATACTCTACAACTAGAAACTCAATATGTACGCTCATGAATGACTCAGTGAATGCTTGCTTACTGTGGTCACTTAGGAAAAATTTGCCGAAGGAAAACATAAGGAAACAATAATTTTACATCTTCCATAGGCTCTCAGTATTTCAAAGTAGTTTTAATTAGATCCCCCTTCATTACCCAAAAGGTGGGTATCTTTGTATAATAATACAATAAGTATTCAGTTTCCCATATCCAACAGTTTTGGGTTTGGAGTCCTTCTGCAGATATAAAATCTCTGACTTGTAAAGTCTTTATTTACTTGTATAGGGGGCTAGTGTTATACCTACAGGTTCTTCCAAAGTCCACTACTATCCTTGGAGACATCCAACTCCATAGAGTAAACTTTCTAGGCTGCACAACAAGGTTGTATAATTTCTCTGATTCCAGAAGAGGCTTTCCTCTTCATCCAGAATACATTCAGTATTGGTTATATTAGTTTCAGGTGTACAATATAGTGCTTTGACATTTTTATACCTTACAATGTGATCACCCTACTAATTCTAGTAATCATCTGTCACCTTGCAAACTTATCACAATATTATTGACTATATTCCTTTTCGCCTTTTCACCCAAGCCCCATTCCTCTTTTCTGGTAACCATCCCATTGGCCTCTGTTTTTACAAGTCTGTTTTTGTTTTATTTTGTTTGCTCTTTTTTTTTTTCTATTTTTTATTTTCCACATATAAGTGAAACCATATGGCACTTGTCTTTTTCTGCCTGACTTATTTTACTAGTTTGCTTTCATATCTTGCCTATCGTTAAGTAATGCTGTAGTGAATATAGGGGTGCATATATCTTTTTGAATTAGTGTTCTAATTTTCTTTGAATAAATACTCAGAGGTGGAATTGTTAGGTCATATGGTATATCTATTTTTAGTTTATGAGGAATTTCCATACTGTTTTCCATAGGGGTTGTACTAGTTTGCTGTCCCACTAACAGTGCACAAGTACTCTCTTTTCTCCACATTTTTGCCAACATTTGTTATTTTTTTGACTTTTTATTACCTTTCATTTTCCCTAAATAGCTTTTCAGGTTTCCTCTTTGTCCTAAATATTTTATTATTTTATTATGATATTTTCTGATAGAACTTTTTTTTACTTATTTAGCTCTAGATTCAATATAGTCTTTCAATATCATCACTCAGGTCATTCATTCTGGAAAAATTTCAGTCATCATCTCTTCAATTATTTACTCTTCTCCATTCTTTTTTTTTCTCTATCTAAAGGGACTGTACTTGAGAGAGTCTTCTCACTTTAACCTCCATGTTTCTTAACTTGAATGTTCATACATTATGCTTTTTCACCTCTCTGCGTGACGTTGATATTCTCATATGAGTTTCCAAATCACTCATTCTCTTAACAGCTATCCTTTTCTTGCCTAATTTCTAACTTGATCTCTGTGAAGATCCTAAACATTTCTATTAAAGGTTTTCATATTATTCGTTGATCATATTGTGTGAATTTTTCTGCTGTGCTGTTGCTGTGGGCATTTAACACATGGTATTTTATAATTTAGACTTGTAAGCTCATCTTCAGGGGTGATGATTGTTCTTATAGGGATTCTGCATGCCCTGATTTGTAGAAGCATACATTAGGAAGAGGGGAGTGTTTCTGGTTTGCCTACCTTGGGGACATGAATGTTTTAACATTTTCTATGCTTGATAGTTTAAGTTTTGGGGTAGTGTAATTGATGAATTGAGGTTCTGCCCCTATACATGGTGCAGGCCTGGAGTTCTGCATCTCTTGGTGATTCTTTTCCATCTGTATGGCTGAAACAATTTGTTGAATTCCTAGTTACCTTAGTTTTTGTTATCCCCATTCAAGACTACCAGGCTTGGGCTTTGTTCTAGCTTTCTAACATCTAAGTATCTGTGCAATCAACTCCTTCCAAGCTAGGGTTATTAAAACAATATCCCTTAGGGTGTAAGTAGATTCTCTTATAGTCATTCAGTTTTTCCTCCTATTTTCCCTCTGAACTTCCAGTTTATCATATTTTACTGACGGAAGGAAAAGCCTTTTCTGGCTCTCTTTCTCAGTTATATATTATATTTTTGTGCTATTTTCTTCAGCTTTTCTGTTGAAAGAAAGGGGAAGTTTTCCTGTCAGTTCAGTCTGCTATATTGCCCAGAGGTAAATGTGAATTTTAATTCGCAATATATGGCTATTTACATATCAACAAATAAAAGATAGCTTGGAACTGAAGGCCAAATTTAGGCATTCAGAATCAAACTTATAAACTGTGCTTAGAAAAGATAAAGAAAAAAATATATGTTTGCTATCTTGATACTTTTCCCTACTGGAGGATTTAAATTTTGCACTGAATGTTATACTTGATGTTGGGTAAATAAGAGTGCTACTTAATTGCATGCCTCAGGTGTTAAAAGAATTAGTTTTAGTATAAAATGGCCTGATATTCATTCTTAAAGTAGGCAAGTTTCTTAGTATTAACTTTTAGACATTATTTTTATTTTTATTTTTATTAGATCCAAGTCAGAAAGTAGTGCCCAAACATATACTAGCAGGTAAGTAACTTAGAGTGTTTCTTATAAATAAGTATATGTTGGAAATTAGAATGAACAAATAATTGCTTAATATTTTTTGAGCAGCCACAGTTAATAGTTCTGCATTAAAAACACTTATAAATATTTCCCATTAAATATTAATTAACTCAATCTTTTTTCTTCAGTTGACTAAATTTGTATTGATTTCCTACTCTTTAGATACATAGGAAAGACTAGCTAAATCTAATAAGAGAAGATATTTATAACTGTTTTGTGAAACATTCACAAGCAGGACATTTTTGCATCCTTGTGATGGGATACACAAAAGGAAATATTACTTTTTTGTTTTTTGTTTATACCCACAAACTCAATATGAACAACTAAGTAATTGATTATTCCACGTAGGAAGGGTTTATCTAAGAATCAGTATCATGAACACACTAAAAATTCTACATTTCCCACACCTCCTCAACAGCCCACAATTGTGTTAGCAAGGGTTTTCTGAATTTTAGTTTCCAGTGCTCCACAATTGTGGCCTTGTGATCCTTCTGAAGTCATCAAGTATTTACTGATTTGCTTACCTTCCTTTCTCCCTTGTAGAGTTTATTTACTTATTTTTTGTAACTAAAAAATAAGTAAAATGTCCGGCATTTTTCCTTAAAATATCCTCTTTTAGTAATAGTCAATCTACTGGATTTCCAGAATATTCTTTATATCCACAGGCTACGTTTTCAGGCTGTGCTACAACATTATGTAGTTTCTATCCTCCCTGATAAAGTCAGCCCTTCCAATAGAGAAGCTATGTCATTTCTATATCCTTTATGCTCTCTGTTGTTTTTGGGTGTCTCCTAACATAGTTACTTCTTTAGAGACATTAGTTACCTTCTCCAAACTAAGTATGAAGATAAAAAGCTGATTTTCTTCGTTGTATCTATTCTCTGTTACCATTACCAAAAGATTTGTGATATAGTCCTGAAACACTGTAATTCTTCCAAACTTATGCCTACATAGAGGCATTACTTTCCCTATATACTCTGAAATCACTTGAAGGTAATGGCCATGTGTATTTTGCTAACCAATTTATAGTCAGCCCCAGCAGAAGAAATGCTCAAAAAATACTTGTTTAATGAATCAGTGATTACTCTCGAACTTCACATACACACATAATTAATGTTAAAACTATTCTAATTGTCCTCTTACATTATCTCTCAGGATAGCATGTATCATTCACATAATTATCTTCTAGAAATGGTATTCAACTAGATTGAGGGATAGTTGAGAACATCATCTATAGAACAACATATATTGCATTCAAAGAATATAATTTGGAATGTTAACCCATTAGTCAAGTTTGTGTTTAGCATATACCAGAAAAAGATTCTTGGATTATTTATTTATTTAATAAATAAATAATAAGCTAGGCAGACCTGGTTGCTATGCTTTATTGTTATAGCACCCATTGTATTTTCTTTTTCTTCCTTATTATTTTAAAATTTTTATTTTTAGTATTTTTAAATTAAATTTATTGGGGTGACATTTGTTAGTAAAATTGTATAGGTTTCAAATGTATATATTTTTTAAATTGGAAAGACAATGGGAGATGTTGGTAGAACCAATTTATTGGTTAAACACTACCAAAACAATAATTTTTTTAAAAGCCAGAAATCTAATGGGTTGTACATGTCAGTAGATTGAGAAGTCTAGATATACAAGTTCTTTTATTGGTTTGGGGGAGAATTAACTATATGAAGTAGGGGTGCTTTGTGATCAGAGTAGTAAGAGAAATCTATAAGTTTGAATATATTAAAAATAGAAGTAAGGAAGGGTAAAATTATACTACTATATCACTGAATTCTCTCACTAATTTTACTGTCTATATTCTCTGTCAATTAACCTCATTTAATTTGTCTTCAATTTATTCTTTTTCTTTCTCATTCTTTTTGTTGGGGTATCAGATAAGATATCTTTGTATATAAAAATAAGAAAGAGGCCCAAGAATTTGATTTTGACTTTTGCTAATAATTAGTATAAAAATGGAAATTTGGCAGGTATTTCTCTTTTACCAAAAGAAAGAGGAAGAAACTGTCAAAAATTATAACATAACTTTGTCAAATTGTATCAAACCAATAGCATTATTATTTTTTAAAATTTAGATCCAAATCACAAGAAAGCACCCAAACATAAAACAGTTGGTAAGTACATTAAGAGGTGTCTCTTAAAAGAAATGTTTGAAATTAAAATGAAATTCACAATCCACAATTAATTTCTTAGTATTTATTAGGTAGATGAATTGACAAAGTACTACACCAAAAATAATTTATTAATCTTTACTAATCTTGTTATTAATGGGTATATATGTATGTATGTATGTATGCATGTATTTATTCATTTATTTTAATGGGTATTTAAATCACTTAGTGTTTTTTCCTCAGTTTAGTAAAGATCTCAAATTTGTTGGGAACTTGCTCTTGTAGACAAAATTGAATTAAAGATTTGAATCTAATAAGATATATTTGTAAATTAATCTATAAAACATATTCATAATCAGGATCACTTTATCCATTAGGCACAGTAGGCACAATGACTAAGGCCTATGCATTTCCAAGTACCAAAAACACTGTTTATAACCTGAAAAATTAAAAATGATTGGCTCCAAGATATGGAAAAAGTAAAATTAACATGTATTTAAATTTCTAAAAAAGTACAAAGGTAACTTAATTGTTATATTTATGAACATTTCATTGTATGTAGAAAAAAATGTTAGATTTTCTCATTTGCAAGTACTTCTAATTAAATGATGTTTCCTCAAATATCACAAAAACTTGTAGAATAAGTAAGTTACAGTCAAATAATATCACAAGCGAAATTGTAAAAATTCTTTCTAGAATTCCTTTTTTCTGTCCTATGAATTTTTGCTTCACAGTACCCCAACTATATGTTTTGCAGTGGAAGGGAATTTATTTACTATCTGCTATCAGTACCTTAAGAATGTATATCTTTGTTCTCTTTCACAGTAACTAGTAATTCCTTCAGAAGGCAATGGATAATACTGAGTATCTCACTGAGAAATGAAAATTCCTTCTTTCTTCTCCTGGTCATGGCTGAAGGAAACAATAAACTGAGTGTGAACCAATTTGCATGCGTGTCTGTTTTTCTCTCTTTCTCTGCCCCTGAGGCTGCTCTTCTGCCACTTTAGGGCCCTTAATCGAAGACAGTCACCTCAACTCTGATGTTTCCATCCCCTCCTAGCTCCCTGAGCTATTCTCTGCAGCTCTCCCACCACCCACTTGGGTTTACTCCCTGGAGCCCCAGATGCTAGTGATTTGCACCAAATGCACTTACTCAGGAAGGACTCTAGGTGGTGGGCCATGGTCCTCCTCCTGGTCCTTCTCACGGGACTTGGCTGGCTGCATGCTAGTCTCAGTAAATCCAGACATTTGCCTACCTCACTCTCCCCACAACTCCAAACCAGGCTTCTGAGGGAGGCTGGTTTGCTTTGGAGGCTGTACTTTAACATCCAGGCCTCTTGCTCTACCAACCATCTTTTTCTTGCCCCTCTACTGGTTGTCCTGCCGGGTGAATCCCAGAAGACAGAAAGACTCAAGGAGTTTGGGCTTGGGTCTCAGGGGCAAAGATTAATCTCTCATCAGAGTTTGGTATCAGGATTGATAAACTGAGTTAGGAAAAAGTTCTCTCTTTTTTTTATGTTTAAGAGTTTGTATAAAATTGTTTAGTTTTTCAATTAAATATTTGGCAAACTTCACCAATGAAGCTGGAGTTTTATTTGTGGGAAGATTTTAAATTATGGATTCAGTTTTTTTTTAACAGATAATGGACTATTCAGATTTTCCATTTATCTTTTTATAGTTTTTAAAGATACTGTAATCTTAAAGGAATTTATCTATTTCATTTAATGTCAATATTTTGGCATAAGGTTTTTCATAATAACATTTTTATTGTTTATAGAGTCTATAGTTGTGGCCCTTCTTTCAGTCCTGATCATGGTGATACTTATACTGCTTCCAATCAGTCTTGATAAGATTTTTTTCCATATAATTAATCTACTCTCTTTATACATTTGACTTCATGTTTCTCTATTGCATCTCTGTTTTCTATTTCACTGGTTTCTGCCTTTTAAAATTTTGCTCTTTACCTAGCTTCTGGAGGTGAAAGTTTAGATAATTGATTTTAAACCTTTTCTAATGTATTTAAAGGTATAAATTTTCTGTATGTACTCCTTTAGCTTCATTTCACAAATTTTAATATGTTCTATTTTCATTATTCTTCAGATCAAAATATTTTCTGATTTTTATCTTGATCTCTGAATTATGGGTTACTTAGTATGTTGTTTAATTTCTAAATATTTAGAAACTTTCAGTTTAATCATTTCTTATTGATTTCTAGTTAATTAAGTCGTGGTCAGAGAACATACTTACATGATTTCAATCCTTTGAAATTATTGTTTTGCTTATGATTCAGCCTATAGTCTATTTTGGTGACTGTTCCATGTACACTAAAATAAATGTCCATTTTGTAGTTGTTAAATATATAAATGTAAATTAAGTCAAATTTTTTTAACAGTGTTTTTGAAACTTTAATGTTTTTTCCTCTTATTTTATCACTTCTTCTGAGAGGTTTGTTCAAATTGCCAATTGTTATTGTTGATATGTCATTTGTTTTAGGTATATTATTTGTGTTTCATGTATTTTGAAGTTATATTTTAGTGCATGTTTCTCTAGGACTGTTATGTTTTCCTTATAAATTGACCCTTTATCATATATAAGTCTCCATTTTATCTCTAGTTATACTCTTAGTCTTGAATTCTACTTTTCCTGGTATTAATATATCCATGCCCGCTTTTTTACAGTTAGTTCCTGCATGAGATATTTTTTTAAAATCCTTTTACTTCCAATGTATGTTTTCTTCTATTTAAGAAAATAGATGTAAACAGCATACAGTGGGTTTTGTATTTTTTTAATTCAGTTTTTTTTATTGGAGTGTTAAACACATTTACATTTAATGTAATTTCTGATACTTTGGTTATACCTTTCATTATTCTTTTGTTTTTTTTTCCCCCTCTGTTTTCTTTTAGGTTAATTTAGCATTAATCTCTTTTTTTCTTCTCTATTGGCTTTTTAGCTGTTCTTTAAGGGACTATTCCAGAGATTACAATATACATCCTTAATTAGCTGTTCTTTAAGGGACTATTCCAGAGATTACAATATACATCCTTAATTTATCACAGTATTCCTTGAATTAGTATTATCCTGTTTAACAAACAGCAAAAGAACTTTACAACAGTATGATTCCTACTATCTTCTTCTTCCCGGTGCTACTACATTTAATTCTACATATATTATAAATACCACCTATACATTGTAATTTTCACCTGAAACGGACAAAAGTTTTTCCAGAAAATTTAGTACTTTCTATTTATCTTTCTGGTACTCTTTATTTCTTCTAGATCTGTGCTTCCATATGGGATCACATCCCTCAGCTTGAATAACTTTCTTTGTTATTCCTTACAATGTGCTTCTGATGGCAGATTTCCTTCAACTTTTTTTTTTCTGTTTGAAAAAGTTTTTATTTACCTTCATGTGGTAAGATAATTATGTAATAATATTGTACATAGACGTCTAAGTTGCCATTTTTTTTTCCTTTCAGCACTTTAAATCTATTATCTTACGGATTTCATTATTTATTTCTGATGAGATGTCAGTTATTATTATTTTTGGTATACTGGATTATAATATGTCTCCATTTTCCATCCACTCCCCACTGCTCACAGGTACTCCTAAGAATTTTTCCACATATTTAATTTTAGAAGTTTGATCATAATTTTTCCACATATTTAATTTTAGAAGTTTGATTAAGGGTGGTTTTCTTTGGATTTACCTTACTTTGTAGCCCACTGACTTCTTAGACCTATTGCTTAATGTCTTTCAATAATTTTGGAGAATTCTCAGCCATTAAGAATGTCTTCAAATATTTCTTTTGCTTCATTCTCTGTTTCCTTAGGGAACTCCAGTTACACATTTTCCTATTCATTAACTATTTTCATAATTCTCTGAAGTTCTGTTTTATTTTTCTTTATTTTTCCCTTTTTAATTCAGCTTGGATAATTTCTGTTGACCAATCTTAAGCTTACTGATTCTTCTGCTGTGTCTAATCTGTTGTAAGCCCATTCAATGATTTTTTTTTAAACTCTAGAATTTCCTCTTTTTAGTTTCCCTTCCTCTATTGAAATTATTGATGTTTTTCATCCTTTTGTCCATTTTAGCCTCCAAATTCTGTGGCATGTTAATAATAGTTATTTTAAAATTCCGATCTGCTAAATCAAATACTCCCATTTGAATGTACTTGATATATGCCTTTAGGTATGTATTGTTTGACATGGTATATATGGAAATAATATTTGATTCCATCTAACTGCTGCATAGTATTTTATAATATGCATTTATTAAATTTTCTTCTCCATTTCCTGTAGTGATTAATAGCTAGGTTGTTTATAGTTTTCTACTATCACAAACAACACTGCTGACATCCTTGTAAGTGTTCCTCATAGTCCTTGGCAAGAGTTTCCTTGGAGTGTTTTTGTGTGCCCATGGATTTCTGTCATGTAATCACCACCACATCCAGTACATAACATATTTCCATCACTCCACAGAAATTTCCTTGTTCCTGTTTGCAGTCAGTTCCTTCTCCTTACCCTGAGTCCTGGACAACCAATGGTCTGTTTTCTGTCACTACAATCTTGCCTTTCACAGTACAGTAAGTTCTCAGTTAATGTCATTGATCGAGTCTGAGACTTTAAGCAAAATGACCTATAATGAAGCCAATTTTAAGCTAATTGATATAAACAAGAGTTAAATTCCTATGACATTCATCAATGTTATAACAAAATGACTTTGAACTAAACAACATTACTCAAGGACCTGCTATATTTCTCATACGTGGCATCGTGTACGTGAGTGTTTTACCCTCTCTATGTATTCCTAGCTTTTGGAGTTAACTCCCCCTTTAATTTCCAGTTGCTTCGACAACCCCAAAGGCAAACCCCAAGTTTTGCCCTTGAAACCTCAAGCCAGAAAGCTCCCACTTTCTGCCACCTGAACCTATATGAAAGTTGGGGAATAAATTCAGTCAAAAGTGCAAAGAACTCGCAAATCCCACCAAGAGCAGTTTGGCCCTTTACTAGGAGATTCCCATCTTTCTTCTTCACTTTTTTTTTTTTTTTTGGCTAGACTTCCTGGGGTCTTCCACATACATATGTAGTTTAGTGGTCACTGAGGCATTTGGACGAATTTATTCTCAGATTTTGGATCATCCTTGAAATAATGACAGGCTAACTTGTTTTCTATTTAGTGATGTGGTTTTTCTAACACTAGATAATCCACCTTTTGCTCAAAAACTCGTGTAATTACCTTTGTCATGAATCAAATTTTTGTGTAGATACAGGCACTCTGTTTTCTTTCATTTGTATTTTTCTTTTGTCTGCAGATTATGTAAGGTGAAAATCTGCATATCTACTTTGCCTACTACTAGGTTTCACTCCTCTAGGACAACTGTTGTTCACAATTTATTATGTATTGTTCAGAAATTTTCTATGAGCAAACATATGCACATATTTATTTCTCTATATACTAATATATACTAGTATAGAAATTTAAACAACACTGGAATTAAGCTACACGTATTTTCTGCCCTTATTTCACCCAATGATACAACTTTACTTGTCAGTACATACATATTATTTTTTATTTATACATCTTATTACATAATATACATGTACCATAATTTATTTAACTATTTTTTGTATTGATGGATATTTAGTTATTTTCCATTTTTCATTATTATAAAATATTGTTAGAATGAACATCCTGATACATATACCTATGTGCACTTGTAAGTGTAAGTATCTCTGTAAAAATGATATTTGGGTATGGAATTGGTGAGTTGGAAGATACGTGCATTTAAAATTTTTTGACTGGCACCACTTTATTTCCCTTTAGTTTTCAACAATGTGTGTTTATACTGATGGGTATTGTGAGCCCAGTTATACTCAGGTGATTCCAAAGTATAGAGCATCCCCAAGTGATTCCTGCCAGAACAAATACCTACTTCAAAGTAGCTAGAAACTTTTAAATATCTTTTCTTGTCAATTATCCACCCCCAATTTTTTATTACCTTATACAGTATCCTAATGAAAGTTCTGACTTTAATGATTAGATCTCTTCTTGACTTCTGTAGGGTGTTTCAGAATGTTCATGTTTATTCTCTGATCCTACATAACTCTATTCCAAAAAAGTCTGATAGCTTAAGGAGTATGAGTGAAGTGCTAGGAACATTTATTAGATTATGAAAGTAGAAATATGGTAGTTCCTTTTAGTACTGATTTTTGGGAGTTTCTTCTGTCAGGAAAAATATACAACACATGGAAATAATGCAAAAGAGTAATTGCACATCCTTTCAGTGACATATTTGAGCATTGTCTAAGGCCTGCCCAGTTTTCCAGGAGACTATACCCTTATTTGACTTCTATTTACTATCAACTAGAATCCTGTCATAGTCTCAGCCAAGTTAGATGTTAAACATAAGAAAACTGGTAAGTCACAAATGATTTATGTACAGAAGAGATGCAGCAATCTCTTTTCTGTATAAAAAGTACTTCAACAGTACAATTTTATTGCTTTGAAAGAAAGAACCAGTTTTATATAAAGCATATAAATTATTTTATAATTGATTTCTTTGTGGGCTATATAACTCAACTGTTATTCAAGTGGTCTTTGAACTAGCTTTACTATCATACTGATTCTCTCAATAATGAGTTTAATCTTTTATACATACCCATTGTACATTTGTGTGAGATTCTTGTTTTACCTTCCAAAAAATAGGAGGGTGAGGAATGAGCAAGCAACAGATATTTTCCAGTGAGGTTCATGATGAGCTGCTGGATAGTTCTGAGCAATAAATGAACAGTTATCAGGCAAACTTTACTCTGGGAACACAAGTAATGATGAATAACAGGTACATAGATAGCCCATTCACCATTATCAGTACAAAGGCCTGAAGCTTCAAATGTTCATATGGGAAGGTAAGCTTCAGCTAGTGCTGTAAAATAAGCTTTCAAAAAGTTGATAGTGTCGAAGAAAACTGTGGATAAAGAAGCAAAGGACTGAATAAAGCGATTACAGCAGAAAAGATGTCATTGCATACAAAGAAACTGTACTGTGATGTTTTAAGCATGTTACAAAATATGTATATGTTGTAATTTATCTGCCTGCCTATCTATCTATCTATCTATCTATCTATCTATCTATCTATCTATCTATCTGTCTGTCTGTCTGTCTGTCTGTCTGTCTGTCCTGCCTGTCTGTCTATCATCATCATCTATCACTATCTCAGTGGCTTTCAACCTTTAGCATGCATAAAAATCATTACTCAGAGTTTCTCATTCCCAGAGATTGTGAATCTACAGGTCTGCAGTGGGACTTGAGATTCTGCATTTCTACAAACTCCTTGGTGATGTTAGACCACTCTTTGAGTGGCACTGCTGTAGTTAGTTGTCTTTTAGTAAATTGATAAGAGGCTGGTTGTTTTGAGTTGACATGCAACATACAATTTTTCTCATTTAAGATATTGAGAAATAAGCCTTCCATTAGTGTTTTCATCTGGAATATCTAACTATAGGAACATTTCTAATGTTAAATAAAAATGCCATTCTCACTCCAGATTCCCACTCCAATAGCAAGGTAGACAGAATAAGCAAACAAATGTGTAATAATCATTTTTATTACTGGCCTAGCTGAAATGAGAATAAGGCTGAGAATATTACTGGCTAAACTGAAAGGGAGCATAAAGCTGGGAAATGAAACTCCTAATAATTTGCCCTGAATTAAACTTACACATCTAAGCATGTCCTCATTAAGGTATAGAGGGGAATTTTGGGCACAGATCAGGAGAAATTCCCTTCTCTTTGCCTCATCCAGTATAAATGATGCAATAAGGGAAAGTTCAGAATCCAGAACACTGAGAACCATCAAGCAGCAGGCTTTTTAACAAATTTTTATTCACTACTCAAGATGTCATTGAATAATAATCAGCTGTTACCCAAATTCATTTCTCAACTTTCTGCTTATACAATACTTTTCCTCTTTGACTATTTCAAAAGTCCCAGAAGAACTGGAAGCCTTTCTCTGTTCTCCCTTCCCTCTCATCATTCTCCTTTCGCAACCATCCTGGAAAAAACACAATTTATTTGTAGTTAAACTTCCTGTCTACAGCCTGATATATGCTTTTCTCTCACTCAGTGGTGAGTGCCTTCTTTAGACCTATATTGTCCAGTGTTAGCCATTACCAAATATGGCCATTGGGCACTTGAAATATGGCTAGTCTGATTGAGATACACTGTAAGTATAAAATACACACCAATTTTTGAAGACAGTACAAAAAAAGGTAAAATGTCAATATCAATAATGTTATGTATTGTATCTACTGGGTTAAATAAAATATATTTTCATATATTTTTTTCATTTTTTAAATGTAGTTATTAGAAAACTTAAAATTGGAGCTGAACAGAAGTCCTACAACTAAGAATGTACAGAAGAAGCCACCTTGAGACTTATGGGAGGGGCAGAGACCGAAATAGGCTGGTTTCACCCCCGCATGTGGTGGTTAAAAATCTAGAGGGATATCTCAGCTGCAGAGGTCCCTCCAGAGGAGTGAGGGGTTTCAGCCCCATACCAGGCTCCTGGGCTGGAGGGATAGCTTTCTCCCAGACAGAAGTGATGGTAGAATCCATTGTTTCCTTGTTGAGCCCTCTTGCCTCCTGGTGTGCAGATGTAGGTGGCTGCCATATCTAGTATCCATCAACCTGGCTAATGCAGGTTGCTTTGCCCTGTTGATTACCTGAGACCCTGTCCCACCAACTTATGGGTCCACCCAAGCCGCTTAAAGTGGCATTTCCATACAAACGGTCTGTCTTGGTTCATTCTGTGGATTTTCCTAAAACTTTCTCAAAGGTTCACAAAATCCAAACAAACATCATTTGGCCTCAGCATGCCCTGTACCTCTTGCTGAGCAGCCCCAATCCCAGCACTAGCAGCAGCTGGCCTCCATTGGCAGCTTGCCCTTTCCAGGTACCTCCAAGCCCAGTGTGGGTGGTGGCTATCAGCAAATGGCTTGGTGGCTCATGCTAGATGGCCCTGGGCAAGGCACAGGCTCAGGCTAGATTTTGCCTGCAGTAAAGCTTCTTTCAGGGGGCACACCCCATGGCTGGCTTTTGACCTAGCTGAAGCACTACCCCAGCCACATCTGAGTGCAACGCACCCAGAGGGCATATTAGGCAGGCACCAGAGCCCTGCTAAAGTGAATCCTGCTCCATAGGGTCAGCCCTTGCACAACAGCTCCTCCACTTTAGTCACCAGTCAGCCCTCACAACCAATCAGCCTGAGGCCCAGTCCCTCCCATTGATGTGCCAACAGCAACCATGTCTCTACTACAACAGGAGGGTGCACACAACCCATAAAAGAGACACACCTGGAGCATCCAGCTCAGGTTACCAGAGAGACTGCAACCCTGGGCCACTCTACTAACACCAGGGAACATAGTCTTACATAATATATAGAAACAAACACAGGGAGGCAGCCAAAATGGGGAGACAAAGAAATGTCCCAAATGAGAGATCAGAACAAAGCTCCAGGAAAAAAATGAACAAAATGGAGACAAGCAATCTACCAGATACAGAGTTCAAAACACTGGTTATAAGGATGCTCAAAGACCTTAGTGGAAGAGTAGATTAACTCAGTGAGAACTTTAACAGAGAGATAGAAAACAAAAATGGAGGTAGAAAACATAAAAAAGAAACAAGTGAAGAATACAATAATTGAAATGAAGAACATACTAGAAGGAATCAACAATAGATTAGATGAAGCAGAGGACAGAATCAGTGATTTGGAAGATAAGATATCAGAAAACACCTAATCAGAACAGCACCAAGAAAAAAGAATGCAAAAAGTGAGGATAGTTAAGGGGCTTTGAGGATAACTTCACACATAACCACATTTGCATCACAGGGGTACCAGAAAGAAAAAAGAGAAAGCAAGGGATTGAGA